TAGAAAGGCAGTGAGTCGGTCGCGCCAGATTTTTGCAGTCGCGTTTTCTCGTGATTTCTCCAAACAGAGGACGGACGTCTGGTGCGATCTACGTGCCTCCTTTTGTAAAAAGGCAGCGAGTAGATTCAGTAGATCACACCAGAGTGTGGCCATTGTGTTTTCTCGTGATTTCTCCGAATAGAGGACGGACAAAATCTAGTCAAACTTCCGTTGAGTACCAAGAAGTGGAGGAGCTATATACAAGGTAGGGGACTTCCGAGTTTCTAGAGTCACTTCTCTGTCCTTTCCCATTAAGAGAAAAGAAACTTTCTCATGGCGTAATCAGAGAAGAGTATCTCATTCCTTTGAGGTAGAGGCGTTCTCTTCGTTCCCGTTTAAGGAGGCAAAAGCTCTGTCACGCTCTCCCATTCCTTAGCCGGTTACAAGGTAAAGGGGCGTTTGGCTTTATGTCTTCATTCTTACTGGGTAAGGAGGGGTTTGTCATGCTTCTTTCCTAGTGGGAAATACATTGCCTATGTTAACATGTTAACAGCTGGAGGAAATCTTAATGTTTTAAGTTAGACGGAGAAGGAGCTTTTTCATTTAGTAACTACTAGGAAGTAGAGGAGCTACAAAGCAGAGACCATGTAGAGGAATTCGAGTTCCAGAATCGTTTCTCATGCCTTTCCCATTAATATAAGTGGCAAGGGAACTTTCTCGTATCGCATTCCTTTATAAGAGGTAGAGGAGCTCTCTTCATTGCTGTTTAAAGAGGCAAAAGCTCTGTCACGCTCTCCCGCCCCCCTCTCCGATTACGAAGTACAGGGGCTTTTGGCTTTATGTCTTCGTTTGCTTTGTCATGCTCCTTTCCTATCGGGAAATAGATTGGTGCCTCTGTTTACAGCTAGACGAACTCTTCATGGATCCCTATCCGATTAGGACTTACAGGGCATGAAGCGATATAGGAGCTGTCTTTTTTCTTCCTGAGGACTGGAGGGGGTTTGTCATGCTTTGAGGGACTCTTCATGTCTTGTTAAACAGCGATGGCGCTCTTCATTTAATACCAAGAAGCAGAGTAGCTACAAGGTACAGACCAGGTAGAGGACTTCCGAGTTCCAGAACCGTTTCCCTTTCCTTTCCGATTGAAAGTGGAAAGGAACTTTCTCATGCTCTATTCATCTCAGTCCGGTTGCCTTTTTTGCCAGCTAGAGGAAACTCATCATGTGTTGAGTTCAACAATGAATGGCTCTTTCATTTAATGCCAAGATGTCGTAAGTAGCTACAAGGTAGGGACCAGGTAGAGGAATTCCGAGCCGCAGAATCGCTTCTCTTGCTTTTCCTATTGAAAGTGGAAAAGGAACTTTCTCATTTCCTACTCAGATAAATAGTACCTCATTCCTTTAAGAGGCGGAGAAGCTTGCTTCATATCGCTTCTCTTTCCTTTCCTATTGAAGTGGAAACGGCACTTTCTCATTCTCGAAAAAAGTATCTCATTCCTTTAAGAGGCAACGGAGCCGCCCTGTTTCCTTTAACTTTAAAACAAGGCGATTCAACAGTACCAAATTTTATTAGAGGTTGTTTTGAAAATTTGGTACTGTTGAACCGCCCTGCTTTCTTCAAACACGGCAGCACGCCTCCAGAAAAATGGCCTCCTTGCTATCTCTCTCCTCTCTCACTTCCCTTTCCCTTCTCTCCTTCTAGTTTCTTTTTAACTGATAAAACACAAGAAAGGAACTTGCGTGATAAAGCAGTAGAAGGTAAGGCAGAGGGTGACTCCTTGCACGTGGACCTTGCCGTACTTCATCATATCCCTCTTCTCGGCCTATCTCTTCTGCTCTTTTTTCTTACTGTTCTCCTTTTCATAATTCTTCCTGTTTAGTTGTTCTTATTTCGAAAAGAAAGAGGGAAGGGAGAGATAAGGGAGGGAGGAAAGATAAAGAAAAGGGCCATCTTCTCAGCGCCTTGTTTTGTCTCTCCCTCTTCTCTATTCATCTCTCTTCTATTCTTTCTTTGCTATTCCATTGAAGTTGGATTCCCTGTATCTCTCCTCTCTCCTTCTCTCTCGCTCCTCTTCTCCTGTTCCCCTCTAAACGATTGCTCTTTACAGATAGGTGCCCTCCCTCCTCTTCAGGAAATATCCTTTCCCTTATTTTGCTTTTTGAAGCGAAGAAAACAACAGATAAGAAGAGAGGAAAGGGAATGACTAAGTAAAGAGAGGAGCCCTTCAATTTCCCTCCCTACATCTGATGTTACTATTCTTTCTTGGGTGGTGCCCTTCTTTCCCCCTTGAAGATGCAGAAAACGATCAGGAAGGACACCCGTTCCATCGCCCATATATATAGAGAGAGAGAGAAATCATGAGCATCAGCTGGGTTTGCTTACATGTTCATTAATTGTTCTTCCTTTTGTCTTTTCTTTCTAACGGAAATGAACAAGAGAAGAGAAAAATAAGAAACAGAGGAAAGATGAAAACGAGCACCGTCTTCTCTTTGCCTGATTTGTGCGCCTCCCTCGCCTGTCTTCATTTCTCTTCCATTCTTGTCATTGCTCTTCCCATTAGAGTTGCATTCCTTTTGATCTCTCCCCTCTCTTTTCTCTCTCCTTTCTCGCTCTCTCTCCCTTCTCTTCTCTTGTTCTCCTTTAAATCTCAAAAACACACAAAAGGAAGCTTCTTTGCCTTTTTGAATGAAAAAAGAAAAGAAAAAAAGAGATAGGGAAACAAATTGAAGAGCTCCACTGCCTATTGTTTCATTCCCTTTCCTCTCGTTCTATGTGTTGTTTCCTTGTCGTTTCAGAAAGCAAGCAAAATGAGGGCAAGGGGGCTTCCTGAAGAGGAGAGAGGGCACCTACCTGCGAAGAGCAAGAATAGTCTTGTCTTGTTTAATTATAGAGGGAAAAGGGAGAGACAAGGAAGGGAGAGATTACAGATAAAGAAGAGTGCCATCTCCTTTGCACCTTGTGTTCCTCCGTCTCCTTGTTTCTTGTCTCCTCTCTTCTGTTCAGTACCCTTCCAGAAAAATAAAATGGCCTCCTTGCTATCTCTCTCCTCTCTCACTTCCCTTTCCCTTCTCTCCTTCTAGTTTCTTTTTATCTGATAAAACACAAGACAGGAACTTGCATGATAAAGCAGTGGAAGGTAAGGCAGAGGGTGACTCCTTGCGCGTGGACCTTGCCGTACTTCATCATATCCCTCTTCTCGGCCTATCTCTTCTGCTCTTTTTTCTTACTGTTCTCCTTTTCATAATTCTTCCTGTTTAGTTGTTCTTATTTCGAAAAGAAAGAGGGAAGGGAGAGATAAGGGAGGGAGGAAAGATAAAGAAGAGTGCCATCTTCTCAGCGCCTTGTTTTGTCTTCTCCCTCTTCTCTATTCATCTCGCTTCTATTCTTTTCTTTGCTATTCCATTGAAATTGGATTCCTGTTATCTCTCCTCTCTCATTCTCTCTCCCTCCTCTTCTCCTGTTCCTCTCTAAATGACAAAAACACAAGAAAGGAAGAACAAGAGGGGAATGGAAGCCCTTTTCCTGTCTTCTCCTGTTGCAATAAGAAGGAAAAGAGCATAGGAGATAAGGAAGGGAATTGAAGAGCTCCTCTCGTTACTTTCTCATGCCCTGTCCTTTCTATCTACCACACCACAACACGACCCTCAGCTTCCAAATAAACCCTATTTAAGCCGGCCTCCCCCCCCCCTCCCCCCTCTCCTTTATAGGAAATGAAAACTGGACACGAACGATGTCCTCTATCTTTTAATGCAGCAGGAGAGAGCTCCTCTCTCTCCTAATGGGACATGAAAGTCCTCCTGTATTTGTTTTCAATGAAAGATCTGTCTCTCGAGGAAATGGAAGATCTCCTCTATCTCTGTCTAGGAAACACTTCTTCAAGTAGGAGAAAGGCTTTTTCATAAGGTGTAAATAAGGAGCTCTATCATTCCCCAAAAAAGAAGAAGGAGAGAGGGGAGCCCTTGGAGGACCCCTTTTCAGAAGAGGCAAGGGCACTCATTACCTACACAGAGATAAAAGAGCTTTCAGATGACCTAGACACATGACTTTCGATTGAATTCTGTGGCTCACACTACAATAACAAAACAAAATGCATTGAACAGCAGCACAAGGCTATGGAAACCACCATGATTCAGAGAGAGAGAGATGAAAAAGGAATTGAAGTTGAGCAACTTAGTTTCGATTAGAGTTTGTTGTTCTGCAACAACAAAACAAAATGCATTGAGAAATGGCCCAAGGTCTACGGAAATAACAACTTCTTCAACAAAGACAGCACACATAAAGAAGCAACCGAAACGAACGTTGTGCAATTTAGTTTCAGGTAGCTTCTGTGGGTTTTGTAAAAACAATACGGAATAGCAAAGCGCGTCGGTTAGACCCTTTCTCTTCAAAAGCCTTCGGCTAAACCCTACACACCAAATTCGTCAAGTTCTGTGGTTAGACTCGGTTAGACCCTTTCTTTGTAGAAACCTTCCGTCCATTACCCTAAGCCCGAAATCTCGTCAATTCTGTGGTTACTCCCTTTCTCTCAAAAAAACAAGGGTTGAACTGTTGAAGTTTAAAATTGTAATAGTTATAATAGCTTCCAAAGGTTTAAATGCTTCTGCTTTTGTGGCAGAAGGAGCCAGCAACAGAAAGTGTCTGGCCAAAGAGATTAGGGTTTATATAGTCCATTGTATATAAACAAAAGACCTATGTCAAATCATACGTAAAGGTTCCTGCCTCATATATATATATATATATAGGGACATGGGGTACCTCATTCCCTCATTCCTTACTAAGAACCAGCTCAGGGTTTGTATGGGTCCCAAAGCCATCTTTCTAGAAGGGTACTTCTCAAGGAACTAAAGGGGGACAGTTTTAAGGGAGCTTAGGGGTTATTTAGGGGCTACTGAGGGGCTACTTAGGTATATGCGGACTTTTTATGGCACATACAAGGCTTATATAAGGATGATAAAGAGGAATGGGATTACGGGTCCCTTCTAGGGAACCCTAAACCCTGAACCCTAAACCCTTCTTACGGCCTTCAGCATCAGGTGCGAAATCTTTTGCTCCACGGACTTCTGGAAGGAGACTTTCTCCTCCCTGGAGAGGTCGCCTTGGGAGGTTTAGGGTTTAGGGTTTAGGGTTTAGGGTTTAGGGTCTAGGGTTTAGGGTTTAGGGTTTAGGGTTTAGGGTTTAGGGTTTAGGGTTTAGGGTTTTGGGTTTAGTCATGGAACTTACATGGGCAGTTCTCTTTTCTGAGGGTCCCTTTGGGGTCCTTGAAACACCAAGGCGTCCGTACTCTACAGGGGGACCCAAGAAGGGACCTTCATTTAGAGAACCACCCACAGGATGTTATCATCATGGGGGGGTTTAGGGTTTAGGGTTTAGGGTTTAGGGTTTAGGGTTTAGGGTTTAGGGTTTAGGGTTTAGGGTTTAGGGACTAGGGTTTAGGGTCCGATGGTCATATTGCAAGTCGTATAGCCCCCCTTGTTACGGTGTCTTTTTTTCAGGCTCCTCGAGAAGAAACCAGAACAAGTTGTATCTGCGGGGTTGGAGCTTCAGAGCATTGCCTAAATAGGGTTTAGGGTTTAGGGTTTTGGGATTTAGGGTTTAGGGTTTAGGGTTAGAGTCTGGCCCTAAACCCTAAACTCGAATTAAACCCTGCCTCCAAGAACATCCCAAACAAGCATCCACGCACCCCACACACACCCCCCAAAACCCTGAACATTACACCGTGGAACCTACCATGTTCTCTAAACCCTAAACCCTAAACCCTAAACCCTAAACCCTAAACCTTAAACCCTAAACCCTAAACCCTTGCAAGGTGCTGTAGGAGAGCTCCTGCCCATCAACCGGCTCCACCGCTGCCAGGCAGTCCAAGTGCCGAGGTGGCGACAGGGTGGGTAGCCTGGAGAGGGCTTGATAGTTTAGGGTTTAGGGTTTAGGGTTTAGGGTTTAGGGGTTTAGGGGTTTAGGGGTTTAGGGTTTAGGGGTTTAGGGTTTAGGGGGGGTTTAGGGTTTAGGGTTTAGGGTTTAGGGATTTGGGGGTTTGGGGGGTTAGGGCTTTAGGGGTTTAGGGGGTTTAAGGGGTTTAGGGGTTTTAAGGGGTTTAGGGGTTTTAGGGGTTTAGGGGGTTTAGGGGTTTTAGGGGTTTAGGTGTTTAGGGGTTTAGGGGTTTAGGGGGTTTGAGGGGTTTAGGGGTTTTAGGGGCTTTAGGGGTTTAGGGGCTTTAGGGGGGTTAAGGGGTTTAGGGGTATAGGGGTTCAGGGGGTTTTAGGGGTTTAGGGGTTTGGGGGTTTAGGGTAGTTTAGGGTAGTTTAGGGTAGTTTAGGGTAGTTTAGGGTAGTTTAGGGTAGTTTAGGGTAGTTTAGGGTAGTTTAGGGTAGTTTAGGGGTGTGCAGAATTGTGGGTCTTGCTGCCGAAAAGCTCGATGGTGGCCTTTAGCGAGTCTCCATCGAAGTGGAACAATCCTGAGAAACAATGGGTGCAACTGGATTAGGGTTTCGGATTTAGGGTTTGGGGTTTAGGGTCTAGGGTTTAGGGTTTAGGGTGGTTAATAACATGGGGCCGCATCAGATACTCTGGCATCCCTATGCATGAGGTGCATGGCATGCAAGCAGGGGAAGGCCTCAAGCGGTTCCGTACGTACATGCATCAGCATTAGCATCACCATCAACTCACTATCCATGGCCGTCACCATCGCCATCGCCGTCGCCATCACCATCGCCATGACCACCGCCACCATCATCGTCGCCATCGTCGCCATCGTCCTCCGCATCGCCATCATCATCAGCATCACGGTCGACCCCAAGTCTTTTCGAAACCTGTTCTACTAGCCCTGAACCCCTAAACCCCCAAACCCTTAAACCCACCCTCACAAACCCCAAACCCCAAACCCTAAACCCCAAACCCTAAACCCCAAACCCTAAACCCTAAATAAACCCCAAACCCCAAACCCCAAACCCTAACCCTAAACCCTAATGCAAGGCTCTATCATCCGCCGTCGGCCGTCGCCCTAACAGGTGGCAGAGCGCGTCGTCAAGGGCTGCTCTGACAGCCTCGGAGCTTAGAACCCAGGATTTGGGATTTGGGGGCTTAGGGTTTAGGGTTTAGGGTTTAGGGTTTGGGGTTTAGGGCTCCATCTTTCTGAAAAGTAACTTACGTCAATGTATTTCCCTGTGATTGTATTATTGTGCTGTTTTATTGTTATATTGTTCTATGGTATGTCATTCTACTGATATATTGGTATATCAATATATTGTGATATTGTTATATCCGGTCAAAGGAGTGACTGGTGATTTCCTCCAGGTGGCTGTCCATTCTTTTCGCTACTCCACCCTAAACCCTAAACCCTAAACCCTAAACCCTAAACCCTAAACCCTAAACCCTAAACCCTAAACCCTAAACCCACTGTGAAGACAAGTGGTGTTCGTGTTTCACATGGCACTTGGAGGTTCATGGTACTTCTTAACTAATTATAACTGTACTTATAACTGTACTTATAACCATATTAGGGCACTTAAGGGGGTTATAAGTACAGTTCGGATTAGTTACTAAGTACCATGAACCTCCGAGTAGGAAGTGCGTGGCCTGACATGGCTCCAAGCGCAACCTTCACCCTGATCTGTGCTGATATTTCTGCATTCAGGGAAAGAAGCAGCCAGCCCGTCATCTGCGCTCGCCTTGCAGGTGGCAAGAACTTCCACAAAGTGGGAGAAGAAAACCCTAAGCCCTAAACCCTAAATCCTAAACCCTAAACCCTAAACCCTAAACCCCCCACCTCGTACTCGGCGCCCGCAGTGACCGTACGCCGCTTGGCCGTAGGAAGGTCCTCATCTTGCACGCGGCTGTTTGAAGAGGGCTTGGGACCTTGGGACCTCTACTTGGAGGTTCATGGTACTTCTTAACCAATTATGACTGTACTTAGAGTTTAGGGTTTAGGGTTTAGGGTTTAGGGTTTAGGGTTTAGGGTTTAGGGTTTAGGGTTTAGGGTTGAGGGTTCTAACTGTACTTGTAGCTGCGTGTACCTATAACCATATTAGGGCGCTTTAGGGGGCGTATAAGTGGGTTACAGGTACAGTTGTAATTGGTTAGTAAGCACCATGAACCTCCAAGTAGGGTTTTAACTGTACCACTAGCTGTACTTCTTATAACCATATTGGGGCGCTTCAGGGGCTTATAAGTGGGTTCTTAAGTACAGTCATACTTGATTTGCAAGTACCATGAACCTCCAAGTAGGGTGTTGCGGATACTTGCTCGTGCTCGCATGCGACACATGCGACCCAAAAACCTGAGTTTGGGGTTGGGATGTTTCCCCTTATACTAGGGGGGGGGGGGTACTATAATCCCCTATTAAGGACTGTTAGTATAGGGGGTAACATCCCAAGTTCCCAAGTCTGGGGTGTTGATGAAGGATTCCGTCTGGATTTTGGGGGCCTCTGAGGCACACAACAAACGGCAGGCGATGATCAGCCTCCCCGCCCATGCCCCAACATTCCTCAACCCGGTTTTGGGTTTAGGGTTTAGGGTTTAGGGTTTAGGGTTTAGGGCAACACCCAAATTCCTTACGTCCTACTGTTGCCTCCTGAAACGCCACGGTGCATCTTCATGCGTCAGCCGCCGCTGACGCTTGCGACGCGGAGCCTCTTCCCGTCCAAGGTTCCGCCGCTGCACGAGGACACGCATGGCGAGATTGGTTTAGGATTACCGGTGGAGGGAACTGTGGTTGTTGGGTGGTAGCGTCGGGCCTTCGAAGGGCCATTCTCACGTCAGTGGCTTACCCCAGGCTATGCCCTAAACCCTAAACCCTAAACCCTATACCCCATCATCTACCACACTGCAAGGGTCATGCTCGTAGCGCAGACCATCGTTTGCATGCGACCGTATGTTATGATGCTACTCACACCACAACGAAAGAGCCACTACGGCCACTGGGCAAAGACAATCACCCAACCGTAACCCTAAACCCTAAACCCTAAACCCTAAACCCTACACCTTAAAGGGTGTCAAGATGCAGCGAACATTACAAAATTGTCCCCGACCATAGGCCCCAATGAGCCGGGACGTTCCCCCTTATACGAGCAGTCCTTAATAGGGATTATAGTACCACCTAGTAAGATCCCCGTGAAGTAAGGACTGTTGGAAAAAAGGGGAACATCCCAACCAATGAGCTATAAAAAACTGGGGCTTCTGTTGAGCCCGATGCCACAAGCAGACACTCGCCCCCACCTGATGCCATGCGAAGCTCAGATAGGAGCCGACTTAAGTTTTAACAAGCCTCCTGCGTCCCAAGCCCCAAAATCCCTCAACCCCTGACTCGAAAACACTAAACCCCTACATCCCTATCCCTAAACTCTGCACTGCTGACCCCCTAAACCTGGGCCCCGCACCTTGGACTTGCGCTGTCCACCTTGCAGGTCCTCCATGTAGAACTTCTTGATTTCCTGCGGTTTTTTGGGCTTTTGGGCTTTTGGGCCCCCAATGCAAGAACCCCCCCCCCCCCCCCCCTCCCCGTTTTCGGTTTTGGGTGTTTGCCCTTGGGGTAAGTTTGATCAGGGGAGCTACCCCTAAACCCAACTGGCAAAGGTTGCACAGGGCAAAATACCTAAGAGAAGCACGGAGCGTGACGAAATGCGGTCTTGAAGCGCGAGCCCTGTTGGTATTGCGATGGTGGCTATGCCTATTCTTGCTGTTGTTGCTCGTGTTGCAACTGACGTCGTCGTTGTGATTGTCACTGTCACGGTCACCGTCACTGTCGCTGGTACCGTTCTTATTGCTGCTCTCATTGCTATTGGTGGTAATGAGTAATGAGTATGACAAATATACGTCTGAATAAACAAATGTATTATATATGTATGTATGTATGTATGTATGTATGTATGTATGTATGTATGTATGTATGTATGTACATATGTATATATGCATATACATATATATATATATATACATACATACGTATATATAAAGTCATTCTCAAATACTGTGCCAGCACGTCATTGACGTTGTGCGTGACTATTTCGTCTGACTTGATCAAGTGCCGATACCCCGAATCGCACTCCCCGCTGTGCCCGACTTCGTTGAGAGAAGAAGGCATACCCGACAGCCTTGACTTCAAACCCTAAACCCTAAACCCTAAGTGCAAATCCTCGGCACTTTGTCCATCCACATTCCGCGCATTCTCGATTTCCTCTGCCATGCGCCGAGATTCCTTGCACGATTTCATCCGAGCCTAGACTGGGTGTTCCCCAAAATCGGGGTACCTATTTTATACCCCAAATAGAATCGAATCCCCTTAACGGGGACAGCCAGAACAGGGCACCCCCAATATAGTAAACCCCCAACTGTCGAGGGATCCTACCCAGAACCGACAGCACTCACAGCAGCTCGGCAACCACTGCACACCTACAGCAGCACCCTCGGTTTAGGTTTCAGGGTTCAGGGCTCAGGGCTCAGGGTTCAGGGTTCAGGGTTTAGGGTTTAGGTTTTAGGGTTGAGGGTTGGAGCTTCTCCCTTTTTGTGACTCCGGCCTCGAGGGCCCACAGCAGCTGCGCCTCCTCATCGGCCTCCAGGGGCTTTTGTGGGTTTAGGGTGTAAACCCTAAACCCTAAAACCTAAACCCTGAACCCTTAAACCCCCTTAAACCCTAACCCCTAAACCCCAAACCCTCAACCCCTAAACCCTGAAAACCCTCAACCCCCCCCCCCTAGACTCCTAAACCCCTAAACCTCGAACCCCAAAGACCCAAAGGAGTTAAAGGCCTTAAACCCCTCTGAAGCCCTGGGTACTGGAGTTTTGGGCTCTTCAGCCGGGACGTGTAAAAAACCTTGCACCTGAAACGGTCATCCCTCTGAATCCCACAAGCGCCCTTTCAGCTCAAGGAGCCCTAGGAACCCTTTAAAGGGTTCAGGGTTCGGGGTTTGGGTTTGTGACAACTTCGGGGTTTAGGGGCTTAGGAGTTTGGGGGGGTTCAGGGGTTTGGCGAGTCGGTTTTTGGGGGGGGGGTTTTCGGGTTTAGGCTGCTTAGGGGGTTTAGGGTTTAGGGGTTTTAAGGTCAGGGGGTTCGGGGTTTCGGGGCTTAGGGTTAGGGGGTTTAAAAAGGGGGTGTAGGGGTTTTGGGGGGGGGGGGCTTAAGGGGTGCAGGGATTTTGGGGGGTTTGGGGTTTTAGGGGTTTTGGGGGTGCGGGGGTTTAGGGGTTTAGGGGTTGGGGAGTGAAACCCTGATCCGGGAGCCCTCTCCATTCTGAGCTCCCAGTTGGTGCCTGGAATCCAGTCCAGCTGGCGTCACGTGGATCTTAAGGGCTCAAGCCCTTTTGAGACTGTGAGCCCTGCTTTCTGTAGCTTTCAACCCCAAACCCTAAACCCTGCAAGCCCTGAGGCCCCAGGGGGGGGGGGGGGAATGGCCTCAAAGGTGGCCTGTGAGGCGAGGAGGGCCTTGGAGAAGTCCTGCTCCTGGCAACCCACGGGTTTAGGGTTTAGGGTTTAGGGTTAAGGGTTAAGGGTTTAGGGTTTATATAGGGTTTAGGGTTTCGGCCCAATACGCAGGAGGTTGTCTCTGCTTGAGAATGCACAATCAGATTGCCCACAATCCATTTCCTCATGGTCACCGAGCCAAACAAGTAAAGGGCTGTGTCATGCCGGAACATACGACTACAGGTATGATCAGAACAACATTCATGTTTTTTTTTTTCGTCTCCGAAATTCGGGGTACCTCATTGGGGTCCTTATTACTAGGGAGTCCTACTTCTTGGGGTCTACATTGGGGCTCCCTTATTTTCGTAAACCCCCACATAAGAGGCGAGGGTCTCTGAAGCCTAAACCATGTCCCACACGTCACACACACACAGACACCCTAAACCCTGAACCCCCTGAATCCTAAACCCACTAAAACCCTAAACCCGAAAACCCTAAACCCTAAACCCTACACCCCAAACCCTAAACCCTAAACCCTAAACCCTGAACCCTGAACCCTAAACCCTAAACCCTAAACCCTAAACCCTAAACCCTGAACCCTACACACTCACACACACACACACACACTTACACGCTTACGCTTGGGGGGGGGGGGGGGGGCACCTCGGAGAGCTGCTGGTTCTGGGCCATCCCATTGATCCAGTCCTTCATCATCGCCTGGTTGCAATAGAAGGTAGGGTTTAGGGTTTAGGGTTTAGGGTTTAGGGTTGAGGGTTGAGGGTTTAGGGTTTAGGTTTAGGGTTTAGGGGGGTAGGCTGTAGTAGGGGAGTAGGGCGGGCCAGGTAGTCGGGTAGGGGGGGGAGGGGTAGCGAGGAGAGGTCTACAGCCAGGCGGTTTCCGCATCAAACTTCTCATCGTCCGTCCAGTTAGGGATGCTGGGCAGCCGAAGGCTGAGGGGTTCAGGGCCTAGTAGGGTTTAGGGTTTAGGGTTTAGGGTTTAGGGTTTAGGGTTTCAGGCCGACTCCCGAACAACGCGACCAGCACCTCCTGCTCGTAGCTGTAGCCCGACGCACCTGCATTGCATCGCTGCGCTGATACGACACCGTGGTGGAAACTGCAGACTCTGCAACCACGCCAACATTCATGCTCCTAGTTGCTGATTACCTTGGGTCAAAAGGCTAACCTTTCAATTGTGGTAGGGCTACATATATATATATATATATACCCCAAACGTTGCCTACTCAGCTACTAAGTGCAAAAACCGGCTGACTATTCCGAATGAACTTAGAAAATTGCTGGCACGGACTGCCACAGCAGGTGGCAGCATGACTTCCGAATGCTTCAACGTGGCACATCTCTTACAGTCAAGAAACACTAGCGCGTTGAATCCTGTAAGTCTAGATCGGTTTCGAAAGGCCCTTTTTGGGGGAGGGGCTGAATACCAATAGGGGGAGTGTGTATGGGCTTTTTCTGGGGTCCCCATTCCTTGTAGTTAAGATTAACAAGACGGGGTGAGGATTTAGATCCACCTCCATACCATATGCACCGTCCATGTGGGAGGGATGATGGGGAGAAGAGGAGGCTGTTTCAACGAGCGAGCATTCCTGGCCTTGGCGTGGGCTGGAGGGCGGTGGATTTCGACCGGCCCAGCCGCCAGCAGCAGGCCTCGTCTTTTTGTGTTTGTTCCGGGGCTCTCTCGGCATCACCTCAAAGGACCGAAGGCCAGAACTGTGAGGGCTGCAGTTGCCGGTAGCCCTTTGTTGCTGGGGGAATGGGGTCGGGGGGGGGGGGGGGGGGGGGGGGGGGGGGGGGGGGGCAAGGGGGTGTAAAGGCCCCCTTCTTTTAGGCTTTCGAGCTGCAAGCTGAAGGGTGTAGAGCGCGAGCAGCTTGTCTGGATGCGCGTGGACGACATTGGTGGCATCACGGAATGTTTGCACTGAATTCTGCGTGCGACCATCATCATCACCATCAGCGTAATCAGCACAAACAGTAACATCATCACCACCGTCACCACCACCATCATCATCATCATCATCATCATCATCATGATCATGTACGTATTCTTATTTGAGGCCACAAGCATCCCCGACGAGCACCCCACCACCGACCCGAAGTGTCGAAGGTGTTGGCCTCACGCAGGACTGCCCATGACAATCTTCAGAAATGAAGGCAGCGAGTCAGGATGCACTGTTGCCAGCAGCACCTGTTGGCGGAAGCCGCTTTGCAGGCTTTGCGCAAAGGGCCTCAAGCTCAGGGCAAACACCCTCAGCAGAGGCATATCACCACCTCTACCCACTACCACCACAAATATGCACCCCTACTGCTATGACCACTAGGGACACTGAGACAACGAGAACAACAACTATATACTCCTACATGGAGCACGCTGATGCTCATAGACGCTCATGGTATGACAAGCAAAAGGCCTTTTATATGGTCTACAACTTCTTGAAATAGATCATCCTACAACTGCCTAGCGGCCTTGCTGCTTGGGCTGTGCCGCGGCCGCGCTCTCAAATCAAGTCCTCAGCACCTCGCGAGCCACGACCGCCGAAATCGAAGTGCCGCGTGTCCTCACACGTTCTCTGACGCGCACTGTGCCTAACTTGCACGCCCTTTTCTACTTACACTACTAAGCACTAGGGTTTAGCGCTGAGGCGTACTTGTGTGCTGGCGGGTTGGGCGAAAAGAAGCCCGAGCACTGCGCTCAGCACAAAAAATTGGCCGCCATCGAAAGAAGCAACAGAAGGAAAGGACACCGCTGCTGCATCCCATGGTCACAAAGAATCTCTGCGTGTGCGTTTGGAGACCCTTTAAGCCCCACACCCCCAAACCTATGTCCGAAAAGAGACCTGAAACAATCCATGCCTGGTAGCCGCGTGCGGCTGGCAGCGGCCGCTCCTGGCAGTTCAACCGCAGACTCAGAGGCCCGTCAAGCCCCATATCCCGGCCCCCGGACAGGCCTTTGACCCAAAGGCCCTAAGACCCCTAAACCCTAAACCCTGAACCCTAAACCCCAAACCCTTAGTTAAGCCCCCCCTAACACCTCAAGCCCTGAAGCCCGCATGCCCTACTGAAGAACCCTCAAAACAGCGAACAAATGCCGGTAAATCCTACAAACTTAAACCCCACACTCCACACCACTCCCAAAAGAACAAGTTGCAAACAACAGGACACTTCAAAGCCATGTTCAACCCCCTCGAAACCCCTAAACCCTAAACCCTAAACCCTAAACCCTAAACCTTAAACCCTAAACCCTAAACCCTCCCGCCTGCGCGGAGGGCCTGGGTGCCGGGGTCGGCGCAGGGGCCTTGGGCTTGGGGCGCTGCATGGGGCGCCCGCCCTTTTCGCCTCGGTTTGGGGTTTAGGGTTTAGGGTTTAGGGTTTAGGGTTTAGGGTTTAGGGTTTAGGGTTTAGGGTTTAGGGTTTAGGGTTTAGGGTTTAGGGTTTGGGGCTTAGGGTTTAGGGTTTAGGGTTTAGGGTTGAGGGTTGAGGGTTGAGGGTTTAGGGTTTAGGGTTTAGGGTTTAGGGTCGAGGGTTTAGGGCTTACAGGGGGGTTTGGAGGGCTCAGGGTTGGGAATTCTTTTCTTTTTAGGGTTTAGGGTTTAAAGGGGGCTTTCCAAAAGCAACGACAGCTTCGCCTTTCACGGGCCCAGACGTCCAAAAAAACGATGCCAGTTTTGAGGACGGCGAGCGTGGCCACGCGCGCGCCCAAGTGAGGCGAGAGCGCGGTCGGTTTTCGTCCAAAATGCGAGCAAGCTAAACCATGGTCCGAAGCACGCGCCCCGCGCAGGCAAGTCGATCTAGTCCCTCTTGCCCCTTGCTGGTGGAACCCCTTAGTGTTGACACACTGTTTGGGAACTTACGCAACAAATTGGCAACAGGCGAAAGCAAAAATCTTTCAACTGGTACCCAAACATTTTTCGGAACCCACAGATGCTGCAGAGATAGTTGTAGGGTGCACTGGCGCCGAGGGCGCGGCAGAAGAGCCCGAGCATCTGGACTACCGAGCCCGGGCCCTTCACCTTCACTGACAGACTCAACACAACTTATGTGAAAGGCTGCGACTTGGACTCGGCAAAGGCTGCATCTCCGGGATTCCGAAAAGCCGCAGCTGATAAAATTCCAGGCCACCTGGACGACTGATGGCGCCAGCGGCACTTGATCGCTGTCGTCAAGCGCCTTCAGGCCACAACATCGAGCTCAGCCGTCGTCGAACCCTGAAACCCTAAACCCTAAACCCTAAACCCTAACCCTAAACCCTGAAAAAGATTGGGCTGCAGGAGCGCAGTGCATTGGACACAAGGTTACCCACCAGCCTTGCCATTCGAGGCGAATGAGAGCCTCTTGAAGTAGAGGACCTCTCCTGTGACAGCTCGGCAACCATGAGGGGTTTAGGGTTTAGGGTTTAGGGTTTAGGGTTTAGGTTTAGGGTTTAGGGTTTAGGGTTTAGGGTTTAGAGTTTAGGGTTAAGGGTTAAGGGTTAAGGGTTAAGGGTTTAGGGTTTAGGGTTTAGGGCGCACCATGCAACACGCAAGGACTTCGACCCGGAGTTGCAGATTGAGGTGCCGGCCTTTCGTTCGCTCACCGATATGATCCTTCGGAGCAGACACTCTCTTAGTTGTCCAGTAACCTGGGGGAACTCAAGGTTAACCTTTGGGATTATAAGGGGAGTATACTACCCCAAAAAGGTTAAAGGTTAGATGCTCTACTACTAGGCTCTTGCTGATCCCTCAAGAATCTTGACACGATCTCTGCTGTCTGCGCGAAAAGCACTACGAAGCTCACTCATGGCTCATGTTGACGGGTTGAGACTCTCAGACTGCCGTCTTGTCTGCAATCTGACATGAAGATATGAAGTAAGGTTTGTATTCCTCCGATCCCCAAAGATCCCCAAGAAGGAAATCCAATATATACACTCACCAACATTTATAAGAAGCCTAGAGACACTCACAAATGGCAGAGCTATAAACCCTCTTCTTTATGGTCACCTCTCTAAAATATGGTGGTCCTTAGAATAAGGCGGTTTTTGTAATTTAGGGCACCCCCAAAATGGACCATATTCTAGAGAACTGACCAGACCTAAACCCTAAACCCTAAACCCTAAACCCTAAACCCTAGACCCTAAACCCTAAACCCTAAACCCTAAACCCTAGACCCTAGACCCTTAACCCTAAACCCTAGCCCCCCCCAAATTTCCTATGATGCACCATGATGCAAGCATGTGGTAAGGATGCTTTCGACCATTCCGGCCTTCAAAGCCGAGGCCGTGATGTTCTCGGCTCCTTCGGAGGGCTTCCAAGGTTCAGGAAATTGAGGGGGGGGGGGGGGGGGGGGGTTAGGCTCTAGGGTTTAGGGCTTAGGGTTCAGGGTTTAGGGTTTTAGGGTTTAGGGTTCAGGGTTCAGGGTTTGGGGTTTAGGGTGTGTAAGACACAGTTGTGCAGCAAAGCTGCGGCTGAGCACTTGCAACTGCCGGCTGAACTCTGCAGAAGCTACGGCCATCAGAACCCTGAGAACAGATCCTATACTCCCCCTAGAACCTGAATAAAAATAATATGTTTAATATCCTCTTGGGCTTTATATGAACAAAAATAATTCCCAGGGGGAATATAGGATCGTCATGGCTTCACGTTACGAGTGACGTGGAGATCCCTCAGTGCTAATATGGGGACCTTCATAATTTGAAATAGGGATTTGGGAGAGTATTCTAGCATACTCCTATAGGGATACGGGAATACTATTAATACTATTAATACTAATTCGACCAGTATATTGCTTGCATACTTGTTGTGATTATCCTTCTATCATTCGGCTTGTATATTAGCATGTTGCTAAATCGATGTATTGCCATATTGTTGTACTATTAACTTGTTATCGTGAGGTATTGCTCTATGGCTAGCAGCTACTCAATGTCGGGAAACTTTTCCAAGCAACACTACCTCTACGCTTCCCTTCATATTGCAGCTCCTTGAGGCAACTCCCACCGGTACGACTTCTGCTGGATCTGCAGATGAATGGATTTGAGCAAGGAGTTTCTTCAGCTGAAGGAAGCACGGCTGCGAAAGGTTAGAACTCGGTTGGAAATTCTTAATTTGGGGTGTTGGGCTGCTAGCGCCTCTGCATATCGCCTAAGGGGCGGAGGGGTCGGGTAATTCTTACTGTTGGTTAGTAGGGAATGAGGGAATGAGGTACCCTTTCTCCCCCTATATATACCCTTGAAGGGATTACGTAGGGTACCTCATTCCCTCATCCCTACTAAAACCAAAAGTAAAATCACCCTTCAACCGTGTTGAGGAAGCCACCGACGCGACATCGGCAACATCCTTAGCCCTAAACTACTATTTGCTTAAGAACCCCCCCCCCCCCCCAAAAAAAAAAAAAAAAAAAACTAAAATTAATAATCCCCATATTGCCCTTACAAGGAAGATGCTTTTTCTACTTTTTGGGGGTTCCTCAGCACATAGTAGCAACCCGTCCTTGCGAAGGTTGGGCGGTTAAGGGGATGGCATTTGGGTCGGCCTTTTGGAGGCGGCGGGAGGTTGTAGACATGTAGTTTTGGATGTTCCCTCTTGTACTAACAGTCCTTAGTAGGGATGATAGTACCCCCTAGTATAATCCCTAAAAAGACTGTTAGTATAAGGGGGAACATCTCAACATGCAGTGTTGGAGGCCTCCAGGGTTAGAGCAGCCATGGCCGACCACCGATCGACACAACACTATAGTATTCAGAAGCTGCTTCTTCACGGCAAGCCCTGCCAGCTCTGCATGCTAGTTGTCTACGCCCTGTTGTTGCAGTCTGCTTCGAAACGTTGGTAGGAAGGATAATTTCGACCTCGCGGTAGCGGGGCGCATCATGCTCGGACTTAGTCATCCGACCCTCTCAGATCCGTCACATCATGCCTAGTTCATGGTTGGGATAACATTAAAAATCTATATTTATATTCCTTATTGGGTCTAAGTACCCTCAAAGATGTAAAATGGTACCCAAGTATGACAAAGATGCTTCTAGGAGGCCCGTGCTTTCCCCAAGCTGCGCGTCTTTGTCGATGCGAGGTCTGAGCCACTGAAAGCTGCGACCTGTCTTATCGAGCAAGGGGCCTTTCGCTGAAGCCCAGCTGCTCCAAAGCATGCTGCACTTCATGTCGGGCATGCTTTGACCCATAATATATCCAGGTAAACAACATAACAGCAATTTTAACAGCACTATACATATAAATATATATATATATGTATCATTATGAAGTATACGAGAATGCAATGCAATAATATAGTACTGGCATACCATGCCTCAGAAGCCCCACGTAGCACAGCTCAAGCCTTTCTCTTTCTGCGCGCAGACGCCTACGGGAGTCCTCCAGTTGCTTGGCGGACACGATTCTGGCGCGGATCCTGGGCACTTTTTTTGTGCTCCAGGAAGCTCGCCGAGAAAAGCTGAGGAACCAAACCCTAAACCCTAAACCCTAAACCCTAAACCCTAAACCCTAAACCCTAAACCCGTCTGCTTGCATCATCCACGCTGGGCGCGCTCGTCCATTTTCAAGCTGGCACGGATCGGTCAAGCCATTCTGCCTCAGCGAGTGTACTACTTCCGGTGTCGCCTGTGAGCGTCTTCTCTTGGGATGTTCCCCCTGAAACTAACAATCCTCCATAGAGGGATTATAATTATGGGGGGTACTTATAATCCCTGTTAGGGACTGTTAGTATCAGAGCTGTCGTCCCTTTTCAGGCTCAGCTCAGTGCGCCCTGGCCAAGAGAAAATGGACGACCCCCCCAGGCTCTTGCTTCCCAGGCTTTCCCGACTCTATGCCTAAACCCTAAACCCTAAACCCTAAACCCTAAACCCTAAACCCTAAACCCTAAATTGAAGTTGGATGGTCTGAGGTCATGGCGCAGGGCTCGGAGGGTGTTTAGGGTTTCGGGTTATTAGTGTTTAGTGTTTGGTTTTTAGGGTTTTGGGATCACACAACTTCAATTTAGGGTTTAGGGTTTAGGGTTTAGGGTTTAGGGTTTAGGGTTTAGGGATCACACAACTTCAAAAAAAACGGTTCAGTTCATCAGTCACGGCCGACTGGGCCAGGCTGCCCGGAAGCAGGGTGGACGACGGAATGTAAATGGGAGGGTTGTTCCACAGGTCCTGTAAAGGGATGGGCGGAGAAGAGCCCCTTGAAGGGGTATCCGTACTACAAAGGAAGCCTACTTTATGATTATTAAACTATATCATGCAATAACAGAGTGTATGCATATATATATATATATATATGTATATCACACCCAACACGTCACGTATAATACACCATGTCTAACTAAGATGTAGTAGAACAACCACCCGATTTTGCAGGCCCACGGCGCGGATCTTTCGCCCACAGCCGGGGCAATTTCAGCCAAGGCACGATGACACTAACGCAGCCCTACCAATTGCTTCAGGACCCTCAGAAAATTAAAAAAAAAACTTCCGTATAAGGGTAATATAGGGATTACTATTTTATAAGAAACATTCTTCTTTATAAGGGTAAGGGAGGGAGTGTTGTTTTCCCACTTCGTGGGGGTTCTTCAGCTTTATAAGAAACCTTCTTCCTTATAAGGGTAATAGAGGGGTTACTATTTTTACTGTTTTTTTTGGGGGGGGGTTCTTCAGCAAGCAGTAGGAGCCTCAGAGAGGTGCAAGGCAGCGGTTTCCGCCCTCAGGCGCCGCGGTTCTCAGTCCATGCCTGCCCCCACATGTGAAGGCTTACGAACATAAGGGACCCCTAGTGGGTTTAGGGTTTAGGGTTTAGGGTTTAGGGTTTAGGGTTTAAGATGGACCCCAAATAGTAGGATTCCCTTGGACCCCAATGAGGTACCCCCTAATATCGGAAATCCCCATGTCGACCGGCTGCCAGAGGAATGAGAGAACATGATAAGGAAGGCGACTCACACAGGCAGGTTGAGGTTTAGGGTTTAGGGTTTAGGGTTTAGGGTTTAGGATTTAGGATTTAGGGTTTAGGGTTTAGGGTTTAGGGTTTAGGGTTTAGGGCTTAGGGCTTAGGGTTTAGGGTTCAGGGCAGCCAGACTGATCTTCGTAGGATGCTACAGTACATAGTAGTGTTGCGCGACGGCCCACTTTGAACATGGAAAGCCGTGGGATCAAGGTATACAGCAAAATCCGCAAGTCAACTTGCGAAGCGTGGCCACCAGTGGCAGGGCAGGAACCCGATGCAGCATGCGAGACCTAGCCGGAAAAAGAGCCTGCCAATATGGACAGGCTCCCGATCTACAGTTAGCCTCTTTTATTCCAGGATGGGCTACCCGTAAAGGGCCTTTTGAAGGGGTTATAGTTATAGGGCATAATAGCCCGTCCTGGTTGCAGGGAGGCCAGCGAAGATGCGCGCCCACCTCGTCACTGGTAGATGCGCTGCAATGCGCTGAAGCCACGGCGGCAGATAGGGCAGGTTCTCACCTGCAGCCAACGCTGCATGGCCCGGCTATGGGCTTGAACCCTTCCTCTGGCACCCAGATACACAGCAGCGAGCCTTGCTCCTGAGTAGTCTCAGGGAATCCTACTCATCCTACAAAAGAACCCTAAACCCTAAACCCTAAATGCAGAACAACAGCCCATGCACACGTTTCCGAGGGCTTGGCTGCACGGTGGGCGCCCGCGACTGCCGCTTCAGCACGAAATGCCTGCATCTGGACTGGCGGCTGGCGACAACATGTAAGGGTAATAGCATATGTAATATGTAGAATACATGATAAATGTATATGTATACTGTATATATATATATAGAATATCTATATTATATTTTTTATATCTTATAAGGGCGATGTGTGTGTGTGTGTGTCTTGCTGGGATGTGCCACCCAAAGCAAGCAGAACTAGCAGCAGCTTCCGGCAGCTGAAACAGCAGTAGCAGCAGCTAAACCCTAAACCCTAAACCCTAAACCCCAAACCCTAAACCCTCAGCTTTTCATGGCATGGCACCTCGGCACAGTCTGCACACACGGCGAGGTGGCCATCCCCGGTGTCCGCATGCATGAAGGCACTGGCATCGCTAGGGTTTAGGGTTAGGGTTTAGGGTTTAGGGTTGAGGGTTGAGGGTTGAGGGTTTAGGGTTTAGGGTTTAGGGTTTAGGGTTTAGGGTTTAGGGTACGAGGGATTGCAGAGGTTCAGGATGGTTGAGGAAGGAGGCTCGGGTAGCGTTCCATCCAGGGCCTACAGCCCGGGCCTCTGCTCAAAAACCGTCTGAATTGCCATACACCTTGACCGTCTCTAACTCAGAATAAGCCATCAGCATCAGCAGCAGATGTTC